ACACAGCTGGGTGTGCCCAGAGCCATGATCCCCAAAACAAAAAGGGGGTGGGAACCGAGGAGAGCCCAGACCCCTGAGATAGACACACTGACACCTCTGCCAACAGACACTCCTCAAAGGGAAGCAACACCCACCAACACACGCTCCCTGTGTGCAGAGACTGAGAACTGGCAAACACGCAATTACCCAGCCCCGCCTGCCACCTCCGCTCCCCTCCCGCACCCCCCTCTCCTTCCCTTTCTTCCCACAAGGCTGCCTTCTATCACCAAGCCATCTCTGAATTGTCCTAGGCTAGGTTTAGGGAAGCAAAGCAAAGGGTTTTATTGGCACCAAGAACACCTTTCTAGTAGGTCAAGGGATGATAAGGGACACTTTCGGAGCCCACCCTGGGTAGCAACTTACTCTTTTTCTAAGGCTGTACCCCTCCCCATAAGGATGCCTACCCCTAGTCAGGTGGGGTGTCTACAACAGTGGACTGAGCATCAATGACCTATTCCTTTGACTCTCCTGTGTTCCACTAGCCACCGCAAGGAGGCGCTGCGTGCCCTCAGTATCTCCAGATCCGTTCTGAGCATCTCCTGGGGCCAGCCTCTGCCAACCCTATTATTCGGCAGTTCTCTACCTTCCCCAGTTCATCGCTTGACTTAGCTTTTCCACCCCGGGCATGTGGGGGGTATAGGACTGTTCATGACAGGAAAGTCCTCCTTCCCAGAACGGATGATCAAGAGTTTTCTTCTTTCTCTTCTCCTAGTTAATAGACCCTGATTAAACCTGCCCCTCAAAGATCTCCTTTCCCTGTTCGCCTCTGTGGCCGGGTGTCTTGCCCTCAACCCTTTCCTCCCTGCCCCCTCCCATCATCCCACTCGGCACCCCCTCCCCATGCCCCTCGGAGCTTTAATCCCTCCTGCTGCCGTGCTGCCTTATCTGCTCCCAGCAGCTTTCGCTGCTGCAAAGCCCTCTCCTCCTCCTCCTTCTCGGGATCTTCTCTCCCTCCTTCCTGCTCTCTGACCAGCGCCACCTCCTGCCTAGCCTCTCTGTCACTCAGACCCCCATCTTGGGGCTCCCTGTCTGACACCAGATTAGTGCCTGAAGGCCCTTCACCCTCTCTCTAGCCTCTGCTCAGGGTCTGTGGGCTGCCCACCGACTCCCACCCTCCCTCTTCTACCTCAGCCCTCTCAACCGACCCCTCATACTTCATCTGTTTCTAGTCAGTCAGGATGTGTATCTTTCTTTCTTCTTCCTGCCCTCCTTTTCCACGTCCCCTCCCTAGTTCCTTCAGGATTTCCCTAAGATTGAATCCCACCCTCTCCATTCCAGTGACCAATGACCTCCGCTTGAGAATACCCAAATAGGGATAGATAGTGCGAGTGTAAGGCAGAGGAGCCGATGCTCCTCTGAGATAGCCCAGGGAGGGCCCTGTTGGGGTGCAGAGAGTACTGGTGACAGTGGGGGCAGGGCCTGGAGGTGGGACGCTAACCCTCTTCAGTTGCCTCAGATCACGTCCAGTCCTTCCCATCCCCCTTCGCCGGGACTCTCATTAACCGCTTCTCCTGCCTCGTCCGTGGCATAAATAACCCAGATAAATCAGCCGCCGTCCGCCCCCCGCCCCTCGGCCCCCGCACAGCCCGTTTGTCACTGCTGCTCGCTCGCCAGCCAGGTCTGGCCAGGCCAGAGACACCCCTGCCCCACCCCCACCCAACCCCCCGCCCCATCCTTGTCCCTTCCCGCCCACGTGTGTCCCACACTGGCTTCCCACCCAGTCAGCACCAGGTCCAGAATTCTGAGCTGCGGCGGGTGTCAAGGAGGTGTCCCTTGGGATCTGGAGGCTGGGGACTCGATCTATAGAATGCTCCTTAGGAGTTCAAAGGTTGTGTGGTTTATGAAGATAGCCAGCCAGCCAGGGGAGTCAGGAGCCCTCATAGGATTGGAAAGAACAGAAAAAGCTCGCTTTGGGGGACTCCCTGGGCTGTGAAGAGATTCCCTGGGAAATCCTTCAGGTTCTGTCCTGGGAGTCTTGGGTTTTCCTTTGGAGACATTTTGCTCAAGTAAAACTTCCAAGCATCCTCCCAATACCTCTGACTAATCCACCCTGCCCTCCTGTTGCCTTCACCCTTCCCGACTTGCCTAGCCCAGTGTACTCTGACCTTTGCCTCCTTCTCTCGCTAACCTTCTCTTTCCGAGTTTCACTGCGGGGAGAACTGGGCTGTGAACAAATCTGAGAAATGGGGATAATTGGAGGGCAGACGAACCCGAGTGGGGCTCACATTCTGCCTGAACGTTAGCCCCTCCCCACAGTCCAAACTCTGGAGTCCCTAGCAGCCCCTTCCACTAGCCTACTGCTAGCTCAGGTCCTAGCCAGCTCCCCTCAGCTCTGCTCCCCCCATCCCTCCCCCACCCCAAGGGGGCAGCTGGTCCCTAGGGAATGGGTGAGAGAAATAGGGAAAGGCTGAGGGAGCTTGGGCGCAGGGCTGGGGGTGGGGGTGGGGAAGAAACTGGGCCGGGCCCCAGGGACCAGCTGGGCAATGAGCCGGGGAAGCAGCCGGGAGGCTAAATGAGGGAGATTATCACCCAACTGCAGCCGGGCAGAGAAGGAGGCAGGCAGGGAAGCAGGGAGAAGGGGGGGAGAGGGGACAGGGCCAGAGGCAAAGGGGGTATGAGGGGATAGAAAGGGGGCCAGAAGGGGCTGGGGGTGGGGAGAGTGACTCGAAACTGCCAAGAGATGGGCTGGAAGGATGGGGTCCCCACTGGGAACCCTGATTCCAGGAGGTCTGGGAGACTGGATGGTAGGGACCTGGGGACAATTAGAGACGGCTGGCCACCAGGCAATGGTGGGAGTCTGCATGTAACAAACTGCTGCTTCATTCCAATGCCCTGGAGTTCCCCCACAGAGCCCATCCCCGGTATGGAGTTACCACCCAACGTCTTTCCTTTTAGAGGTGGAAGAGTCCCTGCTGACCTGCAGTGGGGGAGGGAGGGAGGGGTGTCATGATGGAGGTCAGAGTGCGGTGGAGACAGCTTGACCCTGAGCGCTCGGCAGATAGCGAGGGTATCAGGCAGTGGTGAGTGCTGGGGGGAGGCTGGGGGGCAGCTCCCACTTTCTTGGCAGAGCCCCAGACTGAAGTAACCTTAAAAAAGCAATTAAATCACCTTTTTTTAAAAACCCAGTAAAGAAAAATCGATATTGGGAGAAAAGGGAAGAAAGAAAAGGAGGAATGGTGGGTGTGTGGTGCAGGGGGTGGGGTGGGGCTTTGGAAAGGTCTAGAAGTCAACGGAGGGGGTGAGAAATTATGGGAGACTACTGCCAGGGTATGGAGAGGGAGCTAACTGTCTGTGGTCACTTGGACCCTTCCATAGGAACTCAGCACCTGCTTCCAGTGCCAACTCCACTTCTGCTGTGTCCCAGCCAAAAGCAGCACTTGAACCTGTCTCCAGAGGTCTTATCTTCCCAACTTCCAGAGCCTGCTGACCTAGACTTGTAGGGAAACCCAGCTGTGGGGCCCTGGGAAGCCACTTTGCTGAAAGGCTGGGAACATCTAGTTAGAGCACCATACACGGCTAGGACCAGGTGTGCAGGTGGATTACACACTGGTGTGCCCCTCATGAGGGGCCTGACCTAGCCTTGCTGCCAGGGTGGGCTGAGCAGCAAACTTAACCCCCAAGGGGAGCTACGCTTGTGACCCTCCCTGGGGCCAGCCTGAGACTGCAGGGCCAGGCTGACGCAGGGGAGGGGTGGCCGTTGGACAGCGTGTGGACCTCGGGCTCTAATCCCCAGCAGCTGCCGTTTCCCTCAGATCGATTCCCTTCTCACTTTTTTTTTTTCAGCTGCTGGTTCCGCGGCTTGGATCGATGGAGCCGCCTCCCCCTCCCCTCTGAGCTTCCTCTCCCTGCTGCTCATTAGCGCCCCGATTAATCAGCCCCCCTTTCCTCCCAGGACAAGTGCTTCCTCTCCCCCATGAGGACTCACATTTTTACACACCCCCCAGTGGGCACAAGTGGACCATTCTTGCTACCCTCAAGCGGGAGGAACCAACGTATCCCCTCCTGGTGAGCCAAGAGGGGCTTCCACTTCCTCTTGTGATGGTAGCCCATGTGTCTGATTTTCCCTCCAAGATAGCAGCCTGCAGGGCAACCCTACCTAGCTCTGCCAGAGGACAGGACATTCTGGGCACTGATTTTCTTAGCATAGTATTCCCATTGAAACCCCCCACTCATCTTCCCACTGGCTCTAAGACCTCCCCTGGACGCAGCATCTCCATCTCCCCTGCCTCTGAGCTCTTTGCCTCCTGGCCTGGCTCATCCAGCCCCCCCCCCCCCTTTTCCCCAAGCCTGGTCATAACAAGGGATTTGGAGACTAAAGATCTAGTAAAGTGGCTACAGACGAGCAAGCCAGCCAGAGTGGCCTCTGCTTCAGTCCACAAGAATGACTGGACCTGGGATTGGGGGCAAAGTCAGAAAAAGGGAACCAGCGTTCCTCTGGGAGGGGGAGGGGTGCAGTGGATGTTAAAATCAGCAGCAAGGCTCTAGGGAAGGGGAGTCTAAGTGAAGCCACAGTTGTCTCTTCATCTCTCTTGCGTGCCCTCTCCTTCCTTCCCTCCCTCATTCAAACAAGTGGCTCTCACAAGGAGTTGCTGGGAGCTGCTTTGAGTGGGGCAGTGAGATGCGCTGGAGACTGGAGTCAGGAGTCAGGGTGGCCAGGAGGTGGGGTTGATTGACCCTTCATGGGGTGTGGTCCAGGAAAAGTGGCGAGGGATGGGCCGAGCACTCAGCATAGGATCATTCCCTGGCTGGCCGAGACGAGGCTGTCAGTGGCCCCCACACTTGACTAAGGTACAGCGAGAGAGTTTCAGAAGCAACCTTGATCCTGGAATTTCCATCCTGGGCTGGGGTAGGGTGGGGCTTTTCCCTCCCTGGCCTGGCTCCTGCCTCCCGTGCCAGTGCCCGACGGTGAAACGCTGTTGACATGTCCTGAATTATTAAGCACGGGGTGGGCTCCAGAGCACATGCTGAGCGGAGCGGCTGGGGCTGCGCGGCGTGGCGGAGCAGCGCTTGCTCCCTCGCTCACTCGCTTGCTCGCAGGGACACACGCAGGGGCTGACAGCTGTGCGGGTGCTGATAAGGGAAGCCACAAGGAGACGATCGAGGAGAGAGACAAGCGGCAGCAGAGGCAGCAGCGGCAGAGGCAGCGCCGGGGCTGCGGAGCTGCTGGGAGTGGGAGTGACGCCCCCACCTCAGGCCCCCACCCTGTCCTCATCCTCCTCCTGGTTGCCCTGAGTTTAGAAGAGCAGCCGCTGCCACCACCACCACTCCGGAGGGCACCAGGGCTGCTGTCCAGGGAGGGACAGTGGCAGTGAGGCTCTGGCCAGTCCCAGCAGCCGGGGACAGATGCCGATCGAGATTGTGTGCAAAATCAAATTTGCTGAGGAGGATGCAAAACCCAAGGAGAAGGAGGCAGGGGATGAGCAGAGCCTCCTGGGGGCTGCTCAGGGGCCAGCAGCCCCTCGGGACCTGGCCACCTTTGCCAGCACCAGCACTCTGCATGGGCTGGGCCGGGCCTGTGGCCCTGGCCCCCATGGACTGCGCAGAACCCTGTGGGCACTGGCCCTACTCACCTCACTGGCTGCCTTCCTGTACCAGGCAGCCAGCCTGGCCAGGGGCTACCTGACCTGGCCTCACCTGGTAGCCATGGACCCTGCTGTCCCAGCCCCAGTGGCGGGCTTTCCGGCTGTCACCCTCTGCAACATCAACCGCTTCCGGCATTCGGCACTCAGCGATGCTGATATCTTCCACCTGGCCAATCTAACAGGGCTGCCCCCCAAAGACCGGGATGGGCACCGTGCAGCTGGCCTTCGCTACCCAGAGCCTGACATGGTAGACATCCTCAACCGCACTGGCCACCAGCTGGCTGACATGCTCAAGAGCTGCAACTTCAGTGGGCACCACTGCTCCGCCAGCAACTTCTCTGTGGTGAGTTCTACCAACTGGGCCACCTAAACCTGAGGTGGCCAGAAGCTAATGTGGGGGTGGAGGGTGGTGCGTGAGGGCATCCTCAACAGGGCTTCCCTTCCTTCTGCCACCAGAGGCGGGCCTCGTGTCTCCCTCAGCTGGTGTTTCCCTCTGGCTCCTCAGCCCAGGAACAGTGGCTGCTCAGAAGGGCTTACCCCATGGTACAGCTCCTCCTTCTCTTCTGCTGCTGCTGCAGTGTTCAAGGTTCAGGGGCCAGGGGTATTCCTCAGAATGGACTCAAGGCCCTGGAGCTGGTCTTCATCCCAAGGCCAGACAGACTGAGTCCACTTTGTTCTTGTTCTCCTTTTTCTCGGGGAGCTACTGGATTCTTCTTCCCACCAAATCAAAGTGACAGGGAGAGGGTTGCTAGAGGGGAGAAGTGTCCCTGTCTAAGGAAGGACTTGGGGCTGCCTTCTGGGGAGCTGGCCCAATCAGCCAGCTGGATGGAGATGGTCTTCATATACCCTGGATGCCAGTCTTTTTCGCCTCTGTGTCTTTCACACACACACAGCCCTTCACAGCTGTTCTCACACACCCCTCTTTCATGCTCCCCCTGGTCGGCCCTGCTTGCCAGTGCCCCCACCCCCTCTGGTCCCTGTTCCTGCTCCCTTGCCTGGCTCTGGCTCTCACACTGGGAATCACTCATTCCCTGTCTGTGCATAACTCATCCTCGGAGCTGGCACACGAACACACACACTCAGGGACATGGTTTCCTTGCATACTCCCTGCCATGTGTGTTCAGTGTCCCTGTCACTACACTCATATGCACTCCTGCACACCCACACAGCCAGAGAGCTACTCATTCCATGCTTGTACCCCAGCTCTTAGCTGCCAAGGTTGGGGGATCACGCTGAGGATGTCATCCTAGCTCCTGACACCAACCTGCCCCAACTTCTGCCCACCATTCTCCAGGCAGAGACAACTGGCACCATCACCCCCCATGTATGTGAACACAAACACATGTCCCCTCACCAGAAGTGGAGTGCCAGCTCTGCCTGCTCCCCTTGTACACCTCCCACCATCAGGTGGATGAGTGTGGGGGATGTGTCTTAGATGCTGTCAGGTCTATCACACACACTCACAAGCTATTATTCACAGTGTGCTTGATTGTCCCTAGTCCCCAGTTGACGCCTGTATGTGTGTGTGTGTGTGTGTGTGTGTGTGTGTGTGTGGTCTCATCCTTGTGGCTATTGGCTGGTATATGAGCAAATGCATAGTGCCTCCAAGGTACCCACTCACACCCAGCCGCCAGCAGCAATGGGTATGTTCCTTCCTGAGAGCCTAGTTCCTCACCCACAAACTCTCCTTCTCTCCCTGCCTCAGTGTTACCAGGAAACATGTGTCAGCCAGGTTCCTGGCCCCACCAAGTCTGCAGTGTCTAGGGCCTCTTGCTTTGGGTTGTGTGGGTGGGTTCGGTGGGAGGAATTAACATGAAGAGAGGGGCAGGAGGGAGGAGATTGTTCCAGGAGTGGAATTAGGGAATAGCAGTCTGTTGTCTAGCTACATGCTCTGTCTTCTAGGAAAATATAACATTGCTCTCCAAGACCAGAGGTAAGAGGGAAGTGATGTGTGAAGTGAGTGTGGCCTTTGGGATCCATGGGACTCCTGCCTGGCAGCCTCACCCCTCTGTGGTGGGGGTGGGGAGGAACTTGGTCTCAGCAGGTGCTGCTGGGGCAGAAATCAATGGGGCCTTTGTGTCCCTGAGTTTGTCTCTTAGCTCCAGTTGGGGTGGGCAGGAAAGGGGAAGGTCACCGATGACACATATCAATGGAAGAGAGATAGAGGGCATTTAGGAAGGAAAGGGAAGGTGGCTGAGGGGTTCTGATAGGATAAGAGGTGTCCAGAGAATACAGGGGCAGGGATTCCCGTGATCAAAGCTTGACCAAAGTTCTTGGAATCCTGAGGATGGATGGGGAGAGGATAGCTTTCCCTAGGTCCTTTGGTACCCTGGGGCAAGAGAGAGAGAGGGAGAGAGAGAGAGAGAGAGAGAGAGAGAGAGAGAGAGAGAGAGAGGAACAAAGCAAGCACTGGGGGACAGAATTCCCCTTATGAGGTTCCTATTTCCCCATGCCCGTCCTAGCCTGGACTCAGAGCCTCCTGCTCACGCCCTGTCCCCAACCTGCTGCATAGAACGCCTCCTGGACCTAGAGTACTTGGTTGAGTCTGAAACAGGAACTGGGCTGAGACCCATGGTATTGAACGAGATTAGACGTGCTGCCTGGGTGAGACTGGAGGCCTCCAGTGAGGACGTGAAGTCCATCACTCAGCTCTGTGGCAAGGATGTAGGGGTACATGATGGGTGAGACTGGAGGCCTCCAGTGAGGACGTGAAGTCCATCACTCAGCTCTGTGGCAAGGATGTAGGGGTACATGATGGGGATTTGAAGGGTTTGGTGAGGAGATGAAAATGTGAGCTGATTGAGGTGGCACCTGCCAGGGAGTGAGTGGGCGGTGACATGGCCAGTGATGGTGACAGACAGGCTTCAGTAAGGGACTGCTATGTGTTTTCTGTTGCCTTCCCTGTTTCCTCCTTCCCACTCCCCACTCTGCTGTGACCTTTCCTCCGGAATCCAAGTTAATAAATGTCACATTTTCCAGCCTATTTTTACTCTGGGTAATGTGCCCTCCCCCAGTCCCCTAAGCCGCTGCTCTTGCTTCTGGTGCCACTGAGATCGCTCTCACATACACACACCCCCACGCTCCCAAATATCCCTTCATTTACTCCTAGTCGGGCGCTCAAAATGCTAGTCTGTGGACCCATGCACGCTGGGTTCCTTGAGAGGACCTGTGGGGGACAGCAAAGAAGGGAAGCCCTAGTCCTCCACCCCTGTCCTCAAGATGCCTTCAGTCCCATGATAGAACAGGGACAGGGATCCTCAAAAGCTTAAGCAACCATGCAAGAGTTAATCAGCCATGCAAGCGATGTCATAAGGTTCCAGGATTAATTGCCAGATGAGGTGCATGGACGGAAAGAACCCGAGTTCAGGGAGAGAGAGGCCACTCTGGGCTAAGAGAGGGCTGCGGAGGCTTAAGGGATGAGGCAACCAGAGTGAGGTTTGGAGAGGAGAGAGAGAGAGAGGGGCAGGGGTTCTGAAGGCACCTTGCTATGGCCTTGTCCATCCCCACTGTCCTCCACTCGGGCCCTCAGCTTTTCCCTTTTCTTCTCCAGCCAGCTCACATCGGCCCACTCCCACTTGCACCTCATACTTTCCCCATCGTCCTGTTCACCATGACACAGTAGAGTGCTCACCCTTTCTCCCTGTTTACACTATCTGCCAACTGTGTGCTGAGCCCCAGGTCTCTTCCCCACATCATGGCTCATTCTCAGTCTATCAGCTTGATAGGAAGCAGCAGCTCTCTCCCTAGCCTTCATGCTTGCCCTGTACAAATGCAAAGGTGGCAGCTCTGAAAGCCAAGCATCTCCTCTCCGCGGGGGACAGGATGCCATGTGTGAGTTCTGGAGCTGTCTGACCGACCGTGTGCATTTACTTGTACCTCAATTCTATTCCGTCGTGTGGCCTCAAGGAAACTGAAATGCTTTTGTGAGCATCCATTCGGTATCTATTACATTGTCTCTGGGGTGGTTTTGAGGGTAAGATGCCTGAAAAGAGTTTAGTACACTGCCTGGCACGCATACAATGTGCACTCTGCAAATGCCAGTTGTCACAAAGACCACCACAGCAGCTCCGGGCTGTCTTTTATCTCACTGTTCTCAACATCACCTGATGGTTTCTGATCCCTGCTCTGGAGCAATGCTGCTCTCCATCCTCTGGTCTTCCCTCAGACCTTCGCTGTCCATTGTGTGGTTATAGCCTTCCCAAGCAAGCATGCACACATGTACTCTGTAGGTCAGTGCTAGATGACAAACCTTCTGTAAAGATGGAGACATCCTACATCTGCATTTTCCAACATGGTAGTCACTAGCTAGGCAAGGCTGCTGTTGAGCATTTGGAATGTGATTTGGCGTCTGCAACTCGTGCGTGTTATCTTGGACAGCATATTGGTGACTAAGGTTCAGATTGCCTGGCTGAGTCAGGGCTAGAATTACAGATAGGACTAAACAATGATGTTTTGTAGGGTATGACAAAGTCAAGCTGAGGTCCCAGGTTAAGCTGAGCATGGCTGGAGGCTTTGGGGTATCTGAAAGCATCGTGTGCATAATACAGATACTACTTTTCCCAGAGGCAGGCATGACCTTGGTCTCTTCTCTTCCATGCCTCTGCCTGAAAATTGAAGCAAGAAGGAGGAGGGACTCTTTTGGGAGGTGGGGGCAGGTCCCAGCTCCTCAACGTAGCCCCTCCCCCAATCAAGGGTGCAGAGAGTCCCTAGAAGGGCAAGAGGCCAAGGCTCCATGGGTACCTCACTCTCTCCATTCCCCCTTGGCTTTCAGGCTTCCCTCCCCCTCCCAATCCTCCTTCCCCGCACGCTGGTGACTGCCGTGACTATTAATCACTAGCCCTGTTCTCTTCCTCTCTACTAATCAGGCACAATTAGACAAGGCCTCTTCCAGCTGGGCAGTCCCCCCCTGCCCTCCCCTCCCTTCACAGCCCTCCCAATCCAATACCCAGGACAGCTCTGAGGCAATGAGGACTTCATGTAAGCCCTGTGCTACTCTGGTTGCCCTGACACCCAGTTTGGGGCTTTTCAGCAATCTCCTTTCCCATTTGTCTCCTCCTTGGTCCCTGGTCTTTCCTAGTGTTGTAGTTTGGCCAATATTGGCAGGCTCAATCTCTAACCCACTGCCACTGTCTATCAAAGGGGCTACTCCATGCTCACTTCCCAACTCCAGACCTTTCCTAAAACCCTTGGCTCTAGAAGTGTGTGTGTTTTGGGAGGGGATTCCTTCTGATTTTTGTCCAGACCTCTCACTTTCCAGATCAACTTTATTATCTCTGCCTGAATCTCCCAGGCAGTCCTCTGTCCCTATGGTCCCATCGTGCCCTGAGGTGTGACCCTTGTGCACATTTAGTGAACATCTGGATCTGGATGAAGGCTGCTCTTGCCTTGAGGAGCTAGGAGAGAAAAGTTAATGAGATCACATATGGTGAAAGGTGGGGTCTTGACCTCAGTTCCAACTAACTCTTGCCCATGTGAGGATGTCAGTAGTCTTCCAAGGTGTCAAAAGAAGCTCCAAATCTAGTTTGTTTCAATAAAAAAGTTCCCCAATTTTAACAATCCTGCAGACTGCCTACAACTCAGATTGCAGAACCCAGGAGGGTAAAACACACCTTACTTTGTACTGGCTGCTGCTCCTCCAGTCCTCCTGGAGGGGGCGCTCTCAGTCTGGACGCATTGGCAGAGAAGATGGTGGATCGGATTAAGGTAGTGTGCCTGAAAGGAAGAACAGGGAAAACCGTCACAGAGGGCTGGTCTTCAAGGGCAGCGGGGAGGGTCGTGAGAGACATGCCCCACCCGGCCCCACTCAAGAAGCCCTGTAGCCTCTTCATTAATCAGGAATCAGCCCCGAGCTGGGCTCATTATCAACCCAGCTTCTCGCACTGCTGGAAGATGCTGATTAGCATCTGAAGAAATGGCCCCCATACCGTACCTCTCCTGGCCTCCTTCATGAACCCCCATCCCTGTCCTTGGGCTTCCAGGAGGAACCTGCCCCCTCTTGTGGTGGAGAGCAGAGCTGCCTGATCCAGGTCTGGACTGAGGGGCAGAAAGGATCAGACCTGGAGGCAAAAGGGTCCTAGAGATCTCAAAAAAAGTCCAGTCTCTAGGCTACTGGATCCAACCCAGGACTGGGAGAGGAGTAAGTGGGGATGGAGGCTAAGGATGGTCCTTGGAGGATGAGAAAGGACAGCAACTTCAGGTTGGGGAGATACCAGCTCTCACATCCCCCAATCTCCACCCCCACCCCCCACCCAATGCTCTTCCTGGCTCCCCTGGCTCCTCCTTTAAGCAGCTGGGTCAAGGAGGTGGGACAGCCAGCTACACGGGCTGTGGGGAAAAGCCCTCATCTACCAGACTTGTTATGCATTTTGTTGTCATTATTTTTGTGTTTGGTGGGTCGTAACAGGGGCTTAGACTCTTCAGAGCACCCCCACCCCACCCCCTGTGCTGTGGGTGTAGGCAGGAAAATTGAGAGCCTCATACTGAGAACAGCAAAGTTCTACTGCTGTGTGTCTTCCAGAAAGGGCAGGGATGCCTGTGTTTCTTCCCTTGTCTCCCAAGCAGGGGGTAGCAGGGCAGAATATTCAGTCCACCCCCTAAATGTTCACAGTGCCCTTGGGACACCGCTTTGGGGCTGGGGGTGGAGGGAGCAGTTCCAGAGAGATAGGCATAGGCTGCGGCAGGCGAGGCAGCAGCGAGAGTTCAGAGAGGAGCCACGGGATGATTAAGGGGAAATGGAGGATTGATTTAGGACGAAAGATTAAAGGAGCTAAATCCGTGGCGCTTGGCTCAGCGGTGACTAAGCGTGGACAGGATAATAGCTTACAAATGTGTGAAAGGTGTAAATACCAAGCGGGGGGCGGGGGAGGCAGCCTGGCTGGCCAGGGGAGTGGGGACAAGGGACTGGACAGACCCTGGGGAGGGCTGGAGACTCTTGGGTGACTACACAGTGGAGCAGGCTTCTCCCTAGCGAGGATGCGAGTGGAGGTTGGGATGTTTGAGAGCCTTTGGTTTCAAAAGGAGGTTTCATTTCTCGGGCACAGCTCCCCAGACCTCCGGGTGAGTGACTTCCACATTTCACTTCAGCGGGGCTGGAGACTAAGGTCACGGGTTCAAATCTGACTCAAGTCCTTCAGCGCTGCCTCAGCACCAGGCCTTTCGGTAGTTCCCAGGCTCACTGGCCACGCCCAGCTCTGGTCCAGAGCTCAGTCTACACCGGTCAGCGCTGTCCCTGTTCCCGCCCCACTGATCTCTTCCCCGGCCGCAGCGGGCGGCGGGCGGCGGGCGACGGTGTCTCCCTCCGCGGTGGAAGCCTCTGGCGCTGCTGTGTGCACGGAGGTCACTTTGCCGAGGAGCCGGGAGCCGAGGGAATGCAAATGAGGCGAACCCAGGGAGGAGAGCCGAGGAGCCGGGAGGAGACAGAGGGAGGGCGCTGCTCGGTGATGGATGCCCGCCCCGCAGGCGAGGCGGCCAGCGGGAAGCGTTGCCCGTGGGTGCGGCCTCGTAGTGCGGGGCGGGCAACTAGGCCTGTGTTGCCAAAGTGAGCCTAGTTCAAGGGGGTCCTTGATGGAGTCCACCCGCTGTCAACTAGACGGATGGATGGACACCCTACACACACACACACACACACACACACACACTTGTACTCCAAGTCTCCCCGAGTCTTGTTGGTATTGAAAACTCCCGCCCACCAACTGTGAGTGCTAAACTCTTCAACAGCTTTGTTTGAATCAGGCGGTGGAGATGCCAGGGAAAGACTTAGTTAGATTAAAAACATTTATGGCTTACAAAACTCTTTCTGGGGTTTAATGCTTAGGCAGTGGCTGCCCGGGTACAGGTGTAACTGTTTACCTGAGTCCCGGAGTCCCGCCTTCTTCTACTTGGAAAACAACCCCGAGCTCCCAATTCCATACTTCGACTTCCATAATTCCTCACACGCTCTGGCTCCTGGAAGCTTAGCCAACTCTTCCTTCGCATCCACCATGGCTCTCGTGATTACGTTTGAACCAACACTACCGCCATTCCCAGATCCACCTTGGGGAGGAAGACTCCTTGAAAAGCACGTGGGTGACATTGGGCACTGAGAACTGGGCGCTAAGAACATGTGGTCTATCCAATGTCCTTCCTGGGGAGCGGACCAGCCAGCTTTCTTCAAAAGAAGCTTTCCCTAGCCCTCCTGTGCAGGCGCTGCAGCAGCTGCCTTGGCTGGGATCTCCACCACAGCGTGGAGCACAGCCAGTAGTATCTATTTGTGTGATTGTTAGGTTTGTGTTGTTCCCTCTTGTAGACCTGGCATTTTGAATATGCCTGGCACATGGTGTAGGTGCTCAGGTTTTTAAATGAATCCATGCCTCCACATCCCACAGCAAACTCCTTGAGGAAGACTGTTTTGTTCTGGGATGTATCCCCTGTGTCAAACATAGTGCCTGACACATTGTAAAGGCTTAAGGAATACTGCTTGACACATGGATTGTTCCAACACCCACCGTTCTCTGCTCTACTACATACATCATGTGACTTTGGTAGTTTCTTATCCTCTCTGTGCCTCGACCATCTCATCTGTGAAATGGGGACAATAAGAATAGCTTCTATCGCCGGGCGGTGGTGGCGCACGCCTTTAATCCCAGCACTTGGGAGGCAGAGGCAGGCGGATTTCTGAGTTCGCGGCCAGCCTGGTCTACCAAGTGAGTTCCAGGACAGCCAGGGCTACACAGAGAAACCCTGTCTCGAAAAACCAAAAAAAAAAAAAAAAAGAATAGCTTCTATCATTTTTTTCCTCCTGCATTAAAGAGTTCATTTATGTAAAGTACTCAAATCCTGCTTGATTCAGAGCAGACATTCAGAAAATTGCTATTGCTGTTGCTAATGTGTTACATAATTATCTCTTTTCTCATGCCAACTTTGAAGGGTACCTGATTTTATTCCCATTTCACAGATGAAAAATGGAGGATCAAAGAGGTCTGAATCCCACAGACCTCAATAAAAACAAGTCCTGGAGGTAAGCCAGGTTGAGCTTCCCATCTGCTGGAAGAGCCTGTGAGCTGTGCTCTGAAAGAGCTCCATGCTGATCATTCGCCAAGGGCAGACATCTTTACTAAGAGGCAGGATGCCCTGTGAAGATGGACGCGCTGTACTGCCTGGCTGGATGCTCCCTTCCCTAGGTCACCCCCGCCTCCCTGCTGAGTGCTGGCCATGCATCACTCTGGAGTTTATCTCTAATCTGCAGTTCTAACCTGAGGGGGAAGAATTGCTGGTTGCCTTTTATGGAGGAGCAAACCAAAGACCTAAAGAGACTGTCAGACACCCAGCTCTTGATCTAGTGTCTCAAGCTGTTTATTGAGATTAGTGGAAAAAGCAGGATTTGAACACTGCTTTGTCAGGCTACAGACTCTGTCCCTTCTCCTATGTTCTGTGGCTTCTCTTCCAGCATCACAGACCAATGCTGGGGAGTCATAAATATGATTTCACTTTACAGGTGTCTGTTTAAGGTGTAAGGAGAGCTCACTATGTTGCTCCAAATGCCAGGGCTGAAGCAATCCTCCTGCCTTAGACTGCTAAGTATCTAGGACTACAAGTGCTTGCTTTGGGACTTGCTATGTTTTTTCCCCCTTCAAGATTTACAACTATCCCCAGAAAGAAGTCAGGCAGAAAATTTCTGGAAGATTCCATTTGACAGAAGAGAAAACTGAAGTTCAGAAAAGTCAAAAAATCACTAATGCAGGTTACAGGCAGCTGGACTTAGTGTCTATTGACTCCCAGGGAGGGAACGAAATTAGCAAAGAATTCTGTCATTAGTCGGGCAGGCAGGCTGGGTTGTGATGCTGAATCTTATTATTTGTGTGCTCTTGGATGGGGAGCTGATTTAGCCTTTGTACAATGGGTCGTGGGACTGGGGGGTTGGTCTGAGTGACCCTCAGCTTCTAACCAGCACAGATATCCCAGCAATGAGTGCTGAGTTTCTTCCTCTGCCCCTGGAGCCTGCATCCTGGGTCACCTCTGAGTAAACTCACAGCTTAGGAGCACTCCCACCTGAGATGCTAGTCATGGCTGGATGAAGGGGAATCCAACCCCTTCTATTGGTCCACAGTGGATTCCAGGGTACTGCAGGGTGAAGGGTAGTTCATTCCGGGGCACCTAAGAAGGAGGTATGGGGGTGGATCTCACAGAGGAAGGCACAGGGGTACAGGAGAAGGTCTACTATCCATAGAGAAGTAGCGAGGCGGGAGGTATTGGGGTCTTGGCAGAAGTTGGGTGCCCAGAAGGCGGTGGAGATAAAGCCCAAGCTGCAGATTAGCTGTGGGATTAGCTGCCTGGTCCTTGCTGCTTCTGGCTGCTTCTTATCTCCCAGAGGCCCAGGGCCTTCTCCCACATAGCTGAGCCCTGGCCCTACTAATTGGCTATTAACCCTGTGGGCTCTGTGCTGTAGGAGGAAGAAGAGCTAGGGAGGGCTGCAGTGGGGTGGGGGAGCCAGCAGCCAGGCAGGGAGAGCTATCTTGGGAAATGGGAGCTGTGGATGGATGGAGCTCAGAGGGCTGAGAGAGGAGCCATCGCTCAGGAAAGCAAGCTCTGGACAGATCTCTTCCAGCTCCTGATCATTGTCTCAGGCAGATGGGGAGGGAGAGAGAATGGGGAGGACATCGGGGCAACCTTGGGCCCATAGTAAAACCTAGGGGGAAAACAAGATGTAGAAACTGAATACTTGAATTGAAGAGAGACAGAGAGAAAAGCAAATAGGATAGAGGTACAGGGGGCAAGGGACAAAGAGGGCAGACAGTGTCTAGGCTTTGGGAGAGCAAGAGATGATAAACAGGCTGGCCAAGGGCTAGGAGCAGAGAAACTGAGTCTGGAGGGATAACTGGTTGGGCACCCAGAAAATGTAGACCCAGGGATCTACAGAAGCAGTCGGGAGACAGACCTAGAGCAGAAAACAGGCAATGATTCAGACCAGCGCTGCAAGGAGAGATAGAGTCAGAGAGGGACCAGTAAAGGGCTAGCTAGAGGAAGCCGGCAGAGGGATGCTAGGATGACCTGCCTACAGACCATCCACCTTCAGCTCACGGAAGTTCTAAGGTCACACACTCCAGCTAGGGCAGGTAGCACAGGATCAGAAGCCAAGGTGTTAGGACTCTGATAGGATCAAGGCCCTATGGGCACAGCGTAGAAGCTGAGGTTATCTGGAGATGGCCCTGCCACCATCAGAGCACTTTTTGGTCCAGCGCCAACTTTCTCTATGATTGGACCTGTGGGCTCTCAACCCTTGTATACACATCCTTCCAGGCCGGCCTGTGGGGAGGGAGTAGTGGACAGCCAGTGGGACCTTGTGGCTGAACAGTCGTGCCGTCTCCATGGAAGAAGCTGTGGGCTGTGCTGCCACCAGAATTCTACCACTTAGGAGCCGGTGCCTGACTCCACCATCACTGCCTGGGCCAGGGACTGTCTCCAGGGCAACGACCTGCTCTTCCCAGCAGTGGGGCCTGACCCAAGCTGTGCAGGTGGCCCAGTCCTGACAGTCTGGCCTGTCCAGTCTCCGTAGACTGTCCTTTGGATGTGGACTACTTTCACTCACCGTCGGTGTCACACATTGCCCCTTCTCCAGTATACAACTACTTCACCTGCGCATTTGCCAGGTAATCAACTCCTCCCAAGTCAGGGACGACGAGCTCCATCCTGTAGAGGGCTCAACTCATGTGTCTGTGTATACATACTGAAATATAAGCCTACAGTGCAGCTCTGCCAAGGGCTAGGAGCCCCCAAACATCTTTCATCCACTGAGCCCGCAGCAGGTATTTCCTAAGTCCTGATTGTACTGTCTACAGCATTCGATCCTGTTCAAATCTCTACTGCTCTTTGCTTGCTGTGCATACTTAGCCACTTTCCCTCTCTGGGCTTCAATTATTTCATCCTTCACAGGGGGCAACAATGATCACCTCATGTGGCTTGTGTGAAAGGATCCAAGGAAAAGATCTATCAGAAGCACTTTTCAAAAGACCTGACCTGAGACATGTACTCATGTATGAAATTCTAAAAGAAAAAAAAGAAAGAAAATTTTGATCTGGGACAAAATGAGGATGTTTGATCATGCTTGCCTTTCTCCTGCTCTCTGCCCCTCCTTCTGCTAAGAGGGAAGCAGGACTCCAGGCTTCAGGGAGTTGAAAACCTGTGAGTGAGGTTAAGCATCGGAGACCGTGGCAGACACAGTTATGTGAGCAACACAAACCCGGGGTTCCCTCACATCACTTGGGCCTCATTTAGCCTCTCAACTCAAGCGTGCACTCAAAACTGGCTGAGTTGGCAGGAACTGATTCCAGCATCTTCTCAGCCTGAAACAGGAAGATGTTGGGCACTCACTTGCACGTTTCCTGTATTTGCCTTTCCCACACCACTAGCGATCTAGGAGGCTTGCATTCAGTACACTTCAGGCTCCTCTCTCTCCAGTCACGGCCTGAGAGCCCATGACTAGGCCCAAGCCATCTTGCTTGACTCTTGTATGGCCTCTAGTTATTTTCAATTTCAGCACCAGAGATGGAACCTAGAACCTCCCCACAGTAGGCAATCACTCCACCACTGAGCTGAACCCATGACCCTCTACTTTTTGAGACAGGGTCTCACTAAGTCACTAGAGCTAACCTTGAATTCAGTTTGTAGCCCAGGCAAGCCATGGTCCAGAGCTGCTGGGATTACAGGCTTGTGCCACCACAGATCAGCAGGTTTGTAAAAAAAAAAAAAAAAAGAAAGAAAGAAAGAAAGAAAGAAAAGAAAAGCAGAATTTCATTCCTGCTCTCTACCTCTGTCTACCTCCATGTATTAAACCAGAACCAGCACTTTACAAAGGGGATCCAGGAACAAATTGGCATTTGAGGAGTGCTGATCTTGGAGACCTCTGCAAACTGGTCCAGTTCTCTGAGCTTCTGTCTCCTGGTCTGTGGAATGAGGAGATAGTGATACTGCCCTTGGGGACAGTTGTGATGATTCCATTAGACTGAGCACCCAACCTAACATGCTCTAAGATGTCTGTGCTGCCCACTCCTGCCCCACAAGGACAGGCTGTGATGGAGAATACAGGTGGAGACAGGAACCATAAAGTACGGGGCAAGGACTAGAACCCAGAAGCTGGGGAGGGATGGGCAAGGAAGGGAAAGGCAGAAGACACTGAAAGAATGGAGCTGAAGGGAAAGAGGATCAGAGGAAAAGAAGTTCCTATATGAGGCTTCTCTCTCCATCCTGAGGTGGGAGCTGGGTAGGTTTGGGTTGAGAGGATGCTAGCAATGAACTATGGGAATAGCTGGAGCTTCGCATTCTCATGGGTTTCATCTACTCACTATCTGTGCAGCTTCATTAGAGTCACCTCACCTCTCTGAGCTCCAGTTTTCTTCTCTGGAACCAAGGTCATCAAACACATCTGAAATCAGAGGGACCGGGTGGATGACATGGCGTAGCAGTAGATGTTTTCATGTTTTGTGGATGTCAAAGTGCCGGCTATGCGTATTTTGTTGTTTTAGAAATCAGTTTGGGTGAAGGCTGTACTGGGGGGACGTGTGGGAGGGGTAGGGTAGGAGAAGAGCTGCTGAGGCTGGAGGTAACTAACTCACCAGAGGAGGGGGAACAGAACTTTACCCTCAAGGTGTCCCTGAGTTGCTTCAGAACTCCACTTCCCACCCTCAGCTCGGTCTCTTCTTTCAGCACTCTCCCGCTGCAGCCAAATCTGAAATCTTTTCCCTCCAAGCCACTCCATGCCTTCTCCCAGCCTTTACAGTGTGAACACGTTCCCAAGGAAAGGGGTGGGGGTAATGTTGGAGCACACTGACCCCTCACTCCCAGAGAAGGTGCTGCCTGTGATGGGTTTGACCCAGGAGCACATCCCTGTGGGGTGAGCCGGGCGGGGGGTGGGGGGGGGGAAGGGGACTAGAATCCGCCTCTTTCTCAGTAGCCCTCCCACTCCAGCTGCTCAGTGACTCCAGGCAGCCTTGCAAATCCTCAGTCCGGGCCTGTGCCTTCATCTTTGGGTCACCAGCGCCATCTGGTGTCTTTTGGGGAGAATGCTCGTGGAGGAGACATGAGATGGGCTTTGGATAGAAAAGGTTTATGAAAGTTCCTTATGTGCCCCACGATGGGACAAATGCATGGGACACCAGGCAGGCTCCCTGCTCCATGCAGCTCGCTCTCCAGTGGGGGACACGGGCAATGGACAGTGAAAAGGGTAGAGGAGCAGATGAGCAAGGTCTGAGGTAAGTGGGATGCAGGCCCACTAGCTCTGCCACTCCTGAAGAGGGAGCAACACTAAGGCCTGAGGGTGAACAGGACTAGATGCTTGATTCACAGCTTCAGGAAAGGGAGGGAGGAAGAGGGCCAGGGTCACACTGAAGGGCAACTTTAAGGCTAAGGAAAGAGTCTGATTTTATTCTCTGGAAAATGAGAAGCTATCATTGGTTTTTTTTTTGTTTGTTTGTTTTGTTTTTGCTTTTTTTATGGTGAAAAAAAGTGTCTATTTAGAATGAGTCATCTGGACTCAGTTTAGATGATCCCCATCTTGTTGGCAGCATCCAGAGCATCATAACAGGAGCCAAGCGGACACACGCCTTCTTCTCTCCGTCAGGCCTTATCAGGGTATTGACTTTGGCCACATCAATGTTATAGAGTTTCTTCACGGCCTGTTTGATCTGGTCCTTGTTGGCCTTGACATCCACAATGAACACAAGTGTGTTGTCCTCTATTTTCTTCATGGCTGACTCAGTGGTCAGTGGGAATCTGATGATAGCATAGTGGTCAAGTTTGTTTCTCCTGGGTGCACTTTTCCGAGGATATTTTGGCTGCTTTTGGAGACACAGTGTCTTGGGCCGCCGGAAGGTGGGTGACGTTCGGATCTTCTTCTTTTTGGCTGTGGACGCCTTTCAGCACTGCCTTCTTAGCTTTCAAGGCCTTTGCTTTGGCTTCGGAAGGGACAGGAGCTTCCTTCTTCGCTTTCGACGCCATCTTGGCGAAAAGCGCTATCATTGTTTAGTTTTGCTTAAAAATAACTTTTGCTGGGGCTGGAGAGATGGCTCAGTTGATGAAGGGCTTGCTGTGTAAGCATGAGGACTCTGCTCACCAGCATCCATGTAAAAATCTATGCACTGGGATGTGTGCGTGCACGTGTGTGTGTGTGTGTGTGTGTGTGTGTGTGTGTGTGTTCCCAGTGCTGGGGAGGCATCCTTAGAGCTTACTGGCCGGCCAGCCTAGCCAAATTGATGATCTCCATGTTCAGTGAAGGGTTCTGCCTCCATAAGTAAGGGAGAAAATGATCGAGGGAGGTACTGGGCATTAATCTCTGGCCTCCACTGCATGTAAACACACACACTCGCACGAGACTAAAATACGTTTTATTGTGTGTACTTGAGCTTTACATGATGTGTGCGCTACAGATACTAGAATCTGGCAGGGGACTTGGTTGGTTTGAGTGTTTTGACTGCTGTGTGGAAAACAGGAAAGGGATGGATGAATGAAGGGAGACGGAGTAGGTGGAAACCATTTTAGAATTGTTACAGGAGTCGGGGAGATGCAGATTTTAAGGATCCTTACAAAAAACAAAAACAAAAACAAACAAAAAAAAAACCCTAAGTAGCAATAGGAGGACCCTTTCCTCAGAGGAGGGAGGGCAGGAATTGGTAGGAGAGCAAGAGCTCCGAGCCTGGCGTGTGGTAAATCTCTGTACTCCCAGCGCTTAGGGGGTTAGAGTGGGAAGATTGAGAATTCAAGGCCAGCTACACAGAGGGCTCTTGTAGCTACACGGTGTAGCATATCTTGGGTAGGGGAATTTCTGGGGTACTGCAAGGCCCTAGGGAGGAACAGATCCAATTTGAACTACATAGTAAAGACCTGACCCTCCAAAACTAATAAAAGAGTCCTGTGTCTGACGTGTTCTTTCTCCCTGTAGGTCTATACTCGCTATGGGAAGTGTTACACCTTCAATGCAGATCCTCAGAGCTCACTGCCCAGTAGGGCAGGCGGCATGGGTAGTGGCCTGGAGATCATGCTAGACATTCAGCAGGAGGAATACCTCCCCATATGGAGGGAGACAAGTATGCAGGCGGGAAGGGGATAAGGGCCAACTCAGGGATGGGGCCTGGGCTCTGCTCTCTACCTGAAGGGGGTTCTGAAGCACCTCAACTCTGCTGTGCAGATGAGACGTCGTTCGAGGCCGGCATCCGGGTGCAGATCCACAGCCAGGAGGAACCTCCCTACATCCACCAGCTGGGGTTCGGTGTGTCCCCAGGTTTCCAGACTTTTGTGTCCTGCCAGGAACAGCGGGTGAGCATCCCAGCTAGGCCTAGGCTGGGCACAGGGCAAATCACTGCTCAAAGGGATGCTGGCCAGGTCTGCCTTGCAGATACTCAGTCTGCCAGCCCCATGGCCCTTGCTGGGGCTATTGACACTGGAGGACTGGCCCTGACGGACACGCTTGGCCTTGACCTTGTCATGCCCCATCTCTGCAGCTAACTTATCTGCCCCAGCCTTGGGGCAACTGCCGGGCGGAAAGCGAGCTCAGGGAGCCTGAGCTTCAGGGCTACTCAGCCTATAGTGTGTCTGCCTGCCGACTGCGCTGTGAGAAGGAGGCCGTGCTTCAGCGCTGCCACTGCCGGATGGTGCACATGCCAGGTGGGCACCTCCAGCCAGTCTTTGGTGCCACTCTTCTGAGCTCCTGAACTTCCAGGGGCAGGAATGCGTACAACATGTACACGCATCTACACTCATGAGCATGTGCTCATGTGTATGTCTGGATACTCGTGCATGGGTTCATGTATTTGGGAACGCATGGATGCACATGCTTGCGCGCATGCTAATATATATTCGTGTGTATGTGCTTTGGGGTTGTGTGCATGAACTGAAAAACGTACACATGATTGTGTAAGCAAATGTACAATTACCTGCATATGTGTGTGTATGCATTTTCACTGTGTTTATGCACGTGTGTATACATTGATGTTATGCACATGTGCAAACATATGTACATGTACATGTCTACATGGGTGTGTGGTAAGGGAGAAGGGAAAGGGCTGTAAATCTCAGAGATATTCTTCTCTCCTTTCAGGCAACGAGACCATCTGCCCACCAAATATCTACATTGAATGTGCTGACCACACACTGGGTGTGTGCTGCCTTCCCCTTCCCTGCCTCTCACCATTCCTTCATCCCTCTTTGTGCCCATCTCCTGTGTCCTGTCACTTCTCCCCCCAGTCTGTCCTGGAGGGGTCTTGCTGAAGCCGAGCTTTGTTCACATCTCAGCGGGAGGTGGAGGTGGGGGTGGGTCCTAATGGCTTCTATAGGTTCAGACACTCAGTGATGGCAGATCTAGGGGGTGCTACAGAAAACCAAGACTGAGAGTGGAGCCCATCTCAGTTTTCCAAGTCAACATTCTCTCCCCCACCCCACCCCACCCCCGCTTCTCTCTGGGAGAGAGTAAAATGACTTCTCTCTGAGCCCTAGGAAAAATACATTGCTGGATGTTAATACGGGTAAAATGAACTCCATCTTTCCACAGGTCTCCCTGAGCTGCAGCTCATCCACCACCCACCCACCCATCCATCCACACATCCATCCATTCATCCACTCATCCACCCACCCATCCATTCCTCCATCAACCCATCCACCCACCCATCTACCCACCCATCCATCCACCCATCCATCCATCCATCCATCCATCCACCTGCCTAATGATTGACTGATTGATTCATCCTCTAGACCTATTCAACTTGCTCTGGGTATTGAGAGTGAGGGTCCAAGAGCCCTGCCCATGAACACTGACTAAGGACAGATGCTAACACAGCTCAACAGTTCTTGAACAGGGATTTCTCACAGGTGTTATAAGGCCCTGGGAAGGGACAAGTAGCCCCAGTCTGGAAAAGCAGGAAGGATTCTACATGAAAAACTATATACATATTATCCAAGGTTCGAAGGGTTCTACATAGTAGGGATAGCATGTCCCATGTCCCAGAGACCTTGTGGCTAGGGAAAACTTGCTTTGTCTAGGGTAGTAGAGCTGAAGACAGAGATCAAGGGAGGGAGCAGAGCATGGAGAGGGAGGTTCTTGGAAGCCAGCACAGATTTAAGGCAAGGTAAAAAGGTGAGTGGGTGATACCGTGAGCACAGTAGATAGTTTGAAGCAGGGCACCAGAACTCACTGCAGAAATCTAAATTTGATGGGCCATTGGGTATGCATTTGAGACACTGGGGTAGTGGACTGGCAAACCAGGCTCTCCTCTGTACCCCCATAACACCTGCACCTGTAAAGTGTGTGACTGAAGAGCATTAAACAAAGGAACAGATGTATCAGCTGGATAAGGGAGCCACAGGTCCACAAAACAGGTGACACCAGGGAGCCTTCACTCTCAGGCCTGAAGGTCTGAAGGAGCATCTTGAAACAGAGAGAGAGGGGAGTGGGGGGAGAGGCTGGGAGAGGGAGAGGAAGACAGAGAGGGAGAGGGGAGACAGATGTGGGAGAATGAGAGGGGAAGAGCGAGCATGAGCCCTTACCTGGGGCTGTTTGAGAGATCTGGCTGAGAGCAGTGTGGCACAGAAGAATGCATCCTCTACGATCTGTAGCCTAGTAATTGAAAAAATTGGGAAAGAAGTACACACACATGTACCTCTGCCCTCCGATGCCTTCTGACCTGCCTGACCACAGGCTGGAGGGCTACGGTGTCAAGATGACGCATTTGGCAGGGATCAGTCCCTGGGGTATAAGACAAGGAGAGAGCGAACCGGGGGATCAAAGGGTCAAGCAGAGACATCCTAGCCTATCAAGTCTGTGAATCCTGTCAGTTTATTCTGCCCACCCACCCATCCATCATTCATCCATCCATCCCTCCCTCCCTCCATCCATCCACCCATCCATCCATCCACCCCTCCCTCCCTCCATCCATCCACCCATCCATCCATCCAACCATCCACCCATCCATCCATCCACCCATCATCCATCCATCCATCCTTCATCCACCCATCCCTCCCTCCCTCCCTCCCTCCC